GGAATCTTCCCTATATGGAAGAATGTTTGACTTAAGGCGACAAAATAAGAAGATGATGCTGTGCAGAGTCTTCGAGGGCTGGGATCCGTTTGTCATGGTGGCCAAGAAAAAAAAAGCTTTGAGAAGTTTTAAGGCCACAGAGAGACTAGTGTGAATTAATCTGAGAGATGATGTTGGGAAACAGCTGTATCTGATGCCAGCTCTCCTGACGAACGACCATGAAAATCAAGATGGCTTCCCACTGAACCGACCGCTCTGTGAGGGCTTAATCTGAAATGAGATCCACACAGATAGCCGTGGAGACATAAAACAGCTTCATGTGTATGGATTCGAGCCCAGTAAACTGTACAACTTTTATTAAATGCAGACTTGAATATTTTTACAAATTCTTTCATGTGTCGCCAAATAGTTTAAAATCCCGTCAGCTGAAGCTGTTCTGAGGCTGTTTGTAAAGCAGCAGACCGGGATGTTTACCAATGTGTCTGCTCTCAGGTGTGCTTTCTCATTCAGTGAGGCTGCTTGGTTTGTGCCGGGTGTTGCTTAATCAATCAGCAAGCAGCCGATCCAATGACTGAGTCGTGCTGGTATTGATTGCAGCCACACGAGATGGGGGAGGGAGGCGTGCTGGGCGGATCAATCTGAGCCGGGTGCAGACGTGTGGGTTTGAAGGTGGGGATGAGACTCCCTCAGAGTCCTGATTGAGGCCAGAGGAGCGTGCAGGATTTAAACAGGACCGCTGTGTTATCGTGGCACGTTGTGTATGTGCTGCACACCGCCATGACAAAGATAAATGTCAAAACATCGCTGCTGATGCTTTATTTCAGCAAAGGCCTTCCTCCAGTCTACTTATAAGTGTTTTATGTTTACACAGAGCACACTTTGGATACTCCAAGCACTCATAGTTTATACAGGATTGTGCAAATGTTTAGGCGCTACAAGTAAAGTAAGATCTTTAAAAGAAAAGACCAATACCAGTCATATAATCAAAGATTTGGTCATTAATTTCACACTAAGTGAAGGGGAAAGGAAAAGCAAGCCTCCAACTAAACAGCAACCAGAAGAGCTAGAAAACCTTTTTTTAAAAAATCAGTTTGACTCTGTTTGGTGAAATAAGATGAGAATCCAAATACACTGCTCAAAAAAAATTAAGGAACACTTTGAAAACATCACATTGCAATTAAAAAAAAAAAAATCACGCTGATATCTATACTGATACGTACTCGATAATGTATTAGGAAGGAAAGGATGCCATATTGTTTGATGGAAATGAAACATGATTAAAAAGTGTTCCTTTAAGTTTCTTTGAGCAGTGGATATGAAGTTGTTGAAAAGCCTTCCACACTAACAGGAGCCAGCTGATGTGTTTTGGGCATGTCGTACCAAGAGGAAACCCGGGGTAAACCCGGGCTAAACTGGAGAGATTATGTCTCTTGGCTGGTTTGGGAATACCTCCGAAGTGCTGGAGGAAGAGGTCTGGGGCTTTCTGCTGGGACTGCTGCCCACACAGCCCAGACCCAGATATGAATCAGAAAATGCACGCATGGCTGGTTTTATGGTGTATTACTGTATTAGAATAAATTTCTATAATGCATGAGATTATCACTGGTATACCAGTGCAGCTGGTAACTCATACCTCAAACTAATCCTTATTTACCTCATACTGTACTTTGATGCAGCTTCTCACTCTTTACCATATTATATTATTCTACGTATTCAAGCTATATCCTCCATCTAAAATGAGCCACTTTAGCTCTCTTTTCCTCTGCCTCTACATGAACTGTCTGCCGATTGTCCAGCTATTTCTTCCCCATTCGAATTGTGTGTGTAAAGCAGAAAAAGCCTGTCAGTTTAATTCCAGTTGGGCTTTAAAAAATGACCGATGTGCTGTTGATAAACACTGCCTGTGAAAAATCCTCCACTAATCCACGATGAGCCGGCCAGGCAGGCGAGAGAAGTACGACTCCAAAAATCTACCCAGCACATGCACGGCACTGTCCACTGTTTAGTAATCATCTTAAATTGGACAGTCATGAAGATGGGATGAGCTGAACGTGCTCACTGGGCTGTGGATATTTGTCATGCCAGTGGATGATGGGAATTACACAGTACAGGCCTACATGCAGGTATTATTTACTACAGTGATGAGCTCATCCTGATCATCCATTCACAGCCTTGTTTATTCCTGCAGAACAAATCAAAGGCACTGGCTAAATTATATTCTAGTGGACAATCAATTACAGACAGTTGTAGCTGTGAAGTGTCCTGAGCTGCTGTGATCCAAAAACATTGTTGTCAGTCTCATTTCTGCTGCTCATGCAGGCGTGTGTGGTTTGTTTGGATGTGGCGAATCTTTTAAACTAAAGTTTTTACTTACAAATTTTTATCAAGTTTAATTTACAAGACAGCCCTTTTCTCCTTTTAAAGTCAACAGGCAGCTGTTTGGGATCACCCCACCAACACAGAGGGAATTTACAGTTATTTGGAAACTATTTACATTTTAGTGAGTCATAGGATTTGGCCACGCAGAGTAAGGAATTAAGTAGGAAGGAGCATCAACTTTTTGGCAATTAAGGAGATTGATCCCTTATGTTTGGAACAGACGTACACTCACTGGTCACTTCATTAGGTACATCTCTTCATTGCTCATGCAAATATCTAATCAGCCAATAACATGGCGACCTGCTGAAGTTTAAACTGAACATCAGAAAGGTTATTGGTGATTGGCTGATTTACTGGGACTTTCTGTGCAGGGAAAGGCAACATGAACTCATAAACACTTGAGTAACTGCATCTCTGAATGCACAACATGTCAAAACTTGCAGATGGGTTACAGCAACAGAAGACCACACGAGTGCCACTGCTCTCAGTGAAGAACAGAAAGCTGATGCTGCAGTTCACACAGGCTCACTAGAACTGGAGGAGACAGAACACTGGGGATATTTTATTGACACACGTTCTGCCATTCAGTATCAGTTGAGCATTGTTTAAAAACCACAGCCTACTCGAGTACTACTGCTGAACATGTCCAACCTTTTAACCACAGTGTTCCCATCTTCTGATGGCTGCTTCCAGCAGGATAGCATGCCATGTGATAAAGCTCAGATCATCTCACATTGGTTTCTTAACATCATAATTAGTTGTCTGTACTCAAATGGACTCCACAGTCACAAGAGCTCAATCCAACAGAGCACCTCTGGGATGTAGGGGAACAGGAGATTCACATCATGGATGTGCAGCTGACAAATCTGTACGATGCTATCGTGTCCATGTGGACCAAAATCTGAGAAATGTTACCAGCACCTTGTTGAATCTAAGGCTACGTTCACACTGCAGGTCTGCAGGTCTTGATGCTCAAGACCGATTTTTTGATCAAATCCGATTTTTTTTTGTCTACTTGTTCACACTACAAATAAAATGTGAACGCTCAAAGCGGCCCGCGTGCGCAAAAGAAGACGTCACACACAGCGCGCTCTGTTTAGACCCAGACCAAACAATATTGTTTGACTGATGGCCCTTAATATAAAGACTTCGGACTTTACGTTTATCAATTTTTGCTTTAAGTCATTTTGTTATTTACATAATAATGTAGATAACCTAATAATTATCCTTATTGCTGTTTTAGAGGAGCGGTGCTTCAAAGGATAGCTGCAGATTTCTGTCAGAATCTGCAGATTATACAGTACAAATAAAATGTTCACGTTTCTCCAACATTGTCTTCCCAGCAGTTTCACTGACATCTACGCTGGATGGCCAGGAAGCGTTCGTGATGTCATATCGATGTCTTCTCCGGCGCTGATAATTGGCGTCTGTCTCGTGTCAGTGACGTAAAAGACGGATTTAATGCGACATGACCGTTCAAAAACAACCGCTTTCTGAAACATCAGATATGACTCGGATTCAGGACCACATATGAAAGTGAAAAATATCGGATTTGTGCCGTTCACACTGTCATACCATGATCGGATATGGGTCGCATAGGGTCAAAAAAAAAAAAAAAAAAAAATCGGATTTGATGCGCTTTCACCTGCAGTGTGAACGTAGCCTTAATTAAGGCAATTCTGAAGACAACACGTTACTATCACATGCTTCTTTTCCACTAGCAGTGTTTGAGTTTTGGATGTTTTCCATTACAATTTAGTGCCACCTCGATGTGGGTGGCCCAAAAGTCCAGTGATGTAATTTTTATGCGACACAAACAACACAAGGGTTGACATTGAGGTGATTGGAAAAGATGCTAAAGGTGTACCCAGTAAAGTGGCCAGTGATCATACATGATAGGTTTAGGTGTATATTTGTGATGGACTGAGGTGAGACAGACCTGTACGTCTCCTGCAGACATGTCTGCTCTGTTTTCTTAATCCTTAACTTGAAAAAAAATCTCTGCAAATCTCCAGAAAGGGATCGAGACAACGGCTGTTTTGCAGTGGCATGGACTGCATATTCTAGTCTATGACAGTCAGGTTAGGATAAACAAGAGGGTCGGGAGAAAAGTCTGGAAAGATAAAAACATTTTCTGTCTTTCCTTAATCGCTTTCTGAAGCCTCACATTAATCTTCACATTGATCTATGTTGAGCTAAATTCTGTGTCTTTTCTCATCTAGGATATTGTGCTTCTTCCCTCCTTTCTGCCTGCAGCTAAATGGATTTGAGCCCTGTCTTCAGAATTCAATGGTGCAAGGACACTTGGTAGCTATTGCAGAAAAAGGGCAATTAACAGAGAGGCAGCAGTTTGAATGCAGTGCTGACTAAACACGTGTACGTGGGGGCATCGCTGCTCAGGCTGCTTTGGTGAAGTGGGTAGAGCTCACTGTATGTACAGCATGCCTCGTGGCTTTCGAGATCAGACTGTACAGAAGAGGGTGGGCTGTCAGCTAGACTAAAGGCTTTTGAGAGGCAGCCGCAAGAGTGCTGCCAACGTGATGAAAGACTGTTTGATTCTCTGCAAGAACAAGAGAAACCAGCTCAGTTTTCACAGCTTTTGCGCGTCTGTGTGTTTTTACCTCTGAATGCTCCTCTGCACGTGCCACCTCTTCCTGCAGGAGGTTCTGCGCCGTCTGCAGGCTGTGCTTCTGCACATGAGCCTCTGCAACGACAAAGAGAAACAACACGGATGCATGAAGATTACTTTAAAGGGAGCTGGAAAAGAAGAAAAAAAAAAAAGATCCAGAAACCAAGAAACCGCAGTAGAGAAAATTATTTTCCAAATCACAAAGAGCCTTTAGGGTATGTGCTGACGAGGAGACGCTGGTGATGGGGTGGGCGTTTTCTGGCTAGTAAAAAGGGGAAACAGGGGCTGTAAATATTCTACTTTGAGCTATTTTGGGAAACCGGTTGCAGTTTGGTTTGACCACGAGGTCAGGCTGATCCGGGGGCTCATTCTTGCCAGTCTCTCATTTTCTCATTTGCATTTACTATTGACAAGTACATAAATGATTTAAGTCTCTGTCAATATGATAAAAACAAATGCAGGAAACTCTTAAATAAAAAGACGAAGACAGCAGCTCACAGAATCGTAAGAACTGCATCACAAATAAATGCAAATGCCACCAAAGGATTTAAACCGGCTCACATCAGCATCGCATCTAAGCGAGTAAGCGGCGACGTGATGGCTGACAAGATTATGTTTCGACGTTTTAACGTGTCAGCAAACTGTCAGGCGCTGATGAATGCTCAACACTCCTTTAATGTTAAAAATCTAATAATAACGCTCTAATTTAATGGTTTGACATCTGGAAAAATCTCAACAATGACGAAGTCAGATGATCGGACAGGGTGTAGGCCTAAATCACTAATATGGGCTTCAAGGTGAAGGCGAGTGTCTAATGAACCACAGTGGTGCCACGCTCACGTCGTGCACCCGTTTGAAAGGCAGAGATGGGAAAAGATTACCATGTTTACAACCTTAAAAATGAAAGGAGACAGTGCTGTGATGACACAGCAGCACTGTGCAACAGTCATGCGAGTGAAACTATCACGAACACCAGACTGGTGGGTGGAAGGATGACGTCTGCTTCCTTTTTTCGGACAGAGAGCAAAGAGAGACAAGTTGCTCCTCAAGGGAAAGATTCATTATGCTCGCTGTTCTTCTGTACGGGTTAGGGT